GAAAATACAAAAAACTCAAACAACTCAATAGCAAAATAAAAAATAATCAGATTTAAAAATGGACAAAAGATATAAACAGACATTTCTCAAAAGAATACAAATATCCAACAGGTATATGAAAAAAATGATCAACATTACTATCAGAGAAATGCAAATTAAAGCCACAATGTGATATCATCTCACCCTCATCAAAATCACAATTATGAAAAAGAAAATAACAAATGTTAACAAGGATGTAGACAAAGGTGAACACTTGTATACTGTTGGTAGGAATATAAATTAGTACAGCCACTATGGAGAAGAGTATAGAGGTTCCTCAAAAAAATCCTAAAAATAGAACCACCATATGATCCAGCAATTTCACTATCGGGTCTGTACCCAAAAGAAAGGAAATAAACGTATTGAAGAGATACCTGTACTCCCCTGCTTATTGAAGCATATTCACAATAGCCAAGATAGGAAATCACCCTAAGTGACCATCAACAGATGAAAGAATTTTAAAATGTTGTATATATACACAATGGAATATTATTCGGCCCTAAAAAAGAATAAAATCCTCTCATTTGCAGCAACACAGATGGAACTGGATGTCATTGTGTTAAGTGAAACAAGCCAGGCCAGGAAAGACAAATACCACATGTTCTCATTCATATGGGGGAGAAAAAATTGATTTCATGCAGGTAGTAAATAGAATGGTAATTACTGGAGGCTGGGAAGGGTAGGAGGAAGCGGGAATAAAGAGCAGTTGGTTAATGGGTATAAAAATATAATTAGATAGAAAACACAAGGTCAGTGCTCAGTTACAACAAGAAAGAGACTATGGTTAACAGTAATTCACTGTATATTTCAAAATAGCTGGGAGAAAAGATTTGGGATGTTCCCCAAACAACGAAATGGTCAGTGTCTGCTGTGACAGATATCCCAATTATCCAGATTTAATCATTACACATTATACAATTATCATTATCACATATACCACATTAATATGTATGACTATTAAATATTATGTATCCATAAATTTTCAATTTAAAAATACTGAAAGACAAAAACTGTCAACCAGGAATTCCACAATCAGCAAAAATATCTTTTTAAAAAGTGAAGGCAAAATTTTCAGCATGAAAAAAATTGAAACCATTCATTAGCAGCAGACTTGCCCTTCAAGAAATACTGAAGGAAATACTTAAGACAGACAAAATATGATACCAGATATAATTATAGATCTACAAAAACAAATAATGCCAGAAACAACTACAAGAATAAATATAGTTCTTTTCAAAAATTATTTAATATTTGAAACTCTTGGAAGATAAACTTTTTATACAAAAAGAATAACAATATATTGTGGGGTTTATAGAATGAATAAAAGTAAAATATGACACCAGTAACATAGAATCCAACATTGTTGTAAGCTTCTTATAATACACATGAAATAGTGTAATATCAGTTGAAGGTTGACAACAATAATTTAAATATGTATTCCACAAATCTTGAATAACTTAATAAAATAACAAAACAGTTACCGCTATTAAGCCAACAAAGGAGAAAATATGAATCATAAAAAAACTTGAGTAATCTCAAAAAAGGCTAAAAAAAGGCTAAAAAATGAAAAAACAAAGAACAGATGACATAAGACAAAATCAAAAAGCAAGATGATATAATCAAATGAAAGCATATCCATAATCACAGTAAATGTACATTTTATAAACATCCAATAAAAAGGAAGAGATTGTCAGGTTGGATAATAAAGCAAGATCCAACTATATGCTGGCTATAAGAAAAGTACTTCAAACAAATAAATTTTAAGTAAAATAATAGAAGAACATATACTATGCTAATACCTAAGGCAATACATATATGCAATTCCATTTCCAAATATATCTAGAGAGAGAGAGAGACTTGGTCTGTATATATATATATTAGACCAAGTGAATTTCAGAGCAAAGAATATTATCAAAAATAAAGAATATCACTTAATAAAAAGGGGTCTGTTAAACTAGAGGATATAACAATCCTAATGTTTATGTCCCTAAAAACAGAGCCTAAAAATACATAAAACTATAACTAATAGAACTCCAAGGAGAAACAGACAAATCTACATATTATATATTTCAAAACCCCTCTCTTAACAACTAATAGAATAGGCAGGAAATCAACAGTGAGATAGCAGACTTAAATGACTCTATCAATGAAATTGTCCTTGAATGGGCATTTTAAAATATTCTGGTCAAAAACAGAAGAATATGCATGCTTCTTAAGTGCACATAAAGCACTTACCAAAGTAAACTATATTCTGGGCCATAAAAAAAGTATCAACAAATTCCAAATGATTCAAGACATATAAAGTATATTCTAAGACCACAAGAGAGGTAAATTAGAAATCATTAACAAAAAGATCCCTAGGAACCCCACAATATTTGAAAAATAAATAACATACTTCTAAATTATCTATAGGTAAAAGAAGAAAAGAAAAATGAGAAAGTATTTTTAACTTAATAAAATGAAGAAACAACACACGAGAATTGTGATGATGCCAATAAAGTAGTACTTAGGGAAAATTTATAGAATGTGATTCCTAATTTAGAAAAGAAGAAAAGTATCAAGGCAATGACCTCAGCTTCTATTTTAAGAAAGTAAAAAAGGTAAAATTAAACCCAAAGTAAGCAGAAAAAGACAAGACAAGAAAAGAAACAAAAAGAAAAGAAAAAAGATCAAAGATCAAAGCAGAAATCAACAACAAAGAAAAATCAATAAAACAAAAATCTGGGCCAGGCGTGGTGGCTCACACCTGTAGTCCCAGCACTTTGGGAAGCCAAAGTGGGAGAACTGCTTGAGGCCAGAAGTTCAAGATCAGCCTGGGCAACACGGCAAGACCCCATCGCTACAAAAATAATTTTAAAAATTAGTAGGGCATGGTGGCACACACCCATAGTCCCTGCTACTCGGGAGCCCAAAGTGACAAAATTACCTGAGCCCAGGGGGTCAAGACTGCAGTGAGCTGTGGTTGTGCCACTACAATCCAGCCTGGGCAACAGAGTAAGATCCTTTCTCTAGCCAGGTTGAGCAGGAACAAAAAAGATACAAATTACCAATATCAGGAATGAAAGAGGTAGCATCACTGCAGATTCCATAGATACTAAAAGACCAATAATGGAATACTATGAACAAGTTCATGCCAATAAATTCAACCACTTATGAGGAAGTAGACAAACTAAGATATAACAATGAAACCTTATTCAGGAAATATAACCTGAATAACCCCATATCCGCTAAGAAAACAAACTTCACTTAAAAACCTTCCCAACAAATAAAATTGCATGCCCACATGCCTTCACTGGTGTAATCTACCAGTTCTACACAATCTCTTCCAAAATGTTGAAGAGGAGGAAATACTTCCCAACACATTTTATCAGGCCAGCATTATCCCAATACCAAAACCAAAGAAAACATTACAAGGAAGAATAATACAGACACATGCCTCATGAACATAGAAGCAAAAGTTGTAAACAAAATTTTATTAAATCAGCCAGGCACCATGGCATGTATCTGTCATCCTAGCTACTTGGGAGGCTGAGGCAGAAGGAACACTTGAGCCCAGGAGTTCAATTCCAGCCTAGGCAACATAGCAAGACACTCATCCCTAAAAAAAAAATAATCAAATCAAATCCATTAATATATAAAAGAGATAATCCATCATGACAAAACGGGGTTTATCCCAGTAATAAAAGCTGATTTAACATATAAAAATCAACCAATGTATTTCACCACATTAACAAACAAAATAAAAATATATATGATTAATCTAAACAGATGGAGAAAAGGCACTTGGCAAAATCCAACATCTATTCCTGATCTTACAAAACCAACTAAACAACAACAACAAACTCAGCAAAGTAGGAATAGATGGCATCTATGAAAAGCGTACAGCTAACATTATACCTGATAGTGAAGACTACGGGCTTTCTCCCTAAGATTAAGAACAATACAATGGAATGTCTGCTTTCATACATTTTATTCAAAATTATACTGCAGTTTCTAGTCAATGTACCTAGTCAAGAAAAAAAAATCATAATCAGGTAATCCAGGGGAAACAATTAGAAGTGGTTAGTTCTTTGCAAAACAAAATAATGAAAAATGGGGATTAATGAAGAAAATGAAGAAATGAAATCACACAGGGGAACTAATTTCCACAATTATGTCTAAGTAATGTATGTAAAACAATAGCTTCCTATTTAAAAATTACTTAAATAAGTAGGTGATAAGATTAGTAAGTAGATAAATGCAAAGTCTAAAGAATTTACTGACACAAACTTTTTTTTTTGAGATGGAGTATCTGTTGCCCAGGCTGAAGTGCAGTTCTCCTGCCTCAGCCTCCTGAGTAGCTGGGACTATAGGCGCACACCACCACGCCCAGCTAACTCTTGTATTTTTTAGTAGAGACGGGGTTTCACCATATTGGCCAGGCTGGTCTCAAACTCCTGACCTCGTGATCTGCCCACCTCGGCCTCCCAAAGTGCTGGGATTACAGGTTTGAGCCACCGCGCCCAGCCCAAACTTTTTTTTTTTTGAGACATGGTTTCACTCTGTCACCCAGGCTGGAGTACAGTGGCACAATCATGGCTCACCACAGCCTTGACCTCTCTGGCTCAGGTCATCCTCCCACCTCTGCCTCCTGAGTAGCTAGGACTATAGGAGCCTGCCACCATGCCTGGCTAATTTTTGTGTGTCTTTTTTTTTTTTTTTTTTTTTTTTTTGTAGAGACAGGGTTTCATGTTGCCCAGGCTAGTCTAGAATTCCTGGGCTAAAGTGATCCGCCCGCCTCGGCCTACCAAAGGGCTAAGATTACAGGCATGAGCCACCACGCCTGGCCACAAGCATTTTAATATATTGTTTTTGCTAATTTCAACAAAGCATTATTTGGATTGAATTAACATACTCTGTAACGCAAATGGATGAACACAATAAGCTTAACTAGAAGAGAATTGTAATTTTCATTTCTGTACCTTGTTTGAGCGTAATGACACTCGACCTCCACAACGAGCACAGAACTTTGTTTGGCAATATGAACAGTTATGGCCACATCCATCAGCAAACTTTGTTTTGTGGCAGATACCACAGGTTGGCGCATCACCCTTCTGTTCTTGCTGTTGCTGTGATTCTTCTCCCATCTTCTTTACCTGTTCCTTATACATTTCAAACTGCTGATGCAGTTTTCTGTAGAGAAAATAAATAAGAAAAAATGGTTTCCTGATGCTCTCTAAAGGAAAAATTATCACAATTTATAGAAACAATTTTATAACTAAAAAATATACAAGATGAGAATAAAAAGAATGAAAGTTTAATTTTCTGATGATAAATTAACACTTTTCATGGCACACTATTTGCAAAAGTATTGCAACTAGTTCCACCTTCTTTTTTGAGACGAAGTCTCGCTCTGCTGCCCAGGCTAAAGCGCAGTGGTGCGATCTTGGCTCACTGTAACCTCTGCCTCCCCAGTTCAAGCAATTCTCCCACCTCAGCCTCCTGAATAGCTAGGACTACAGGCACACACCACCATGTCAGCTAATTTTTATATTTTTAGTAGAGATGGGGTTTTGCCACGTTGACCAGGCTGGTCTCGAACTCCTGACCTCAAGGCATTCACCTGCCTCAGCCTCCTAAAATGCTATGATTATAGGTGAGGACCACCATACTCAGTCTCCACCTTCTAATATACATATTAAATAACCAATTAATATAATACATGTTCATGGAAATATTTCTTGAGATTATATTTCTAAATTTCTATCTACCATTTGGAGTACATTTTCAATCACATGTTCTAAAATACTTACAATATTATTTTTCTACCATTTAACTTCAGAAATACAGAAAGCTAATTTGACTTACACAGTGAGGTCAAGACCTATGAACTTCAAATCACTGAGACACAGTCTTTCAATAAGAGTGATATAAAGAATCCAGAGAGAGAAAAAATACTACATAGGCGCTCCAGTCCAATGGAAGAAAATTTACATGCTATTAAAAATGAAGAATTCCTTCATTTTGGTGGCTCTTGAGTAGACTTGAAAGTGCTGAGGCAAATATAAGTAAACTTAAAAAATTAGTCAATAAAAATTATCCAAACTAAAATAAAAAGAAAAATATATATAAGTGGGGAATATAAAACAACAGTACATCCAAGAGTTAACCCAACCTACCATATGTATAATTGTTCACAGAAAAAGAATAGAAATGAAGGAAATATTTGAAGGGATTATGACCAAAAATTTTCCAAAACTAATGAAAGATACCAAATTAAACACAAGAACCTCAGAGAATCCCTGGAAGCACAAATGTCAAATAAAATACCAAACATAAACACATGCTCCTAGTTTGCCTTCATAGTCAAATTGCTAAAACCCAAAGATAAAGAAAAAACTTTGAAAGCGGCCAAAAAAAAATACACATTGTGTAGCGAGACCCAATGATAAGAATTAGAGAAGATTACTCTTGAGAAACCATGCAAGCTGGAAAGCTTTGGAGTCATGTCTATAAATTGAGAGAAAAAAAAAAAAACAAAAAAACCTGACAACTCAGAATCTCATACACAGTAAAATCAGGCTTTGGAAAATATAAATAAGTAAATAAAAATTATAAAAATGAATAAAATTTAAAAATAAAAACTTTTCCAGATGGACACGTATTGAAGAAATTCATTGGCAGTAGACCTTCACTGCATGGAACTTAAAGGAAGTTCTTAAAACAGAAAGAATATGATACTCCTTGGAAGTACCATATGGAAAAAGAGACCTAGAAAAAGAAATACACGCTTATATTAAAAATAAAATGTGTCTCAAAAACTTAAGAAAAACAGAAAATTAAACCCAAAGAAAGCAGAAGAAATACAAGAGATTAGAACAGAAATCAATGAAACCAAATGCTGGTTTTATGAAAAAAATCAGTGGAGACTGACATAAGCAAGTTAAAAGAATAGGACTTTCCAACATTTGTCCCTCAACAGCAACATCAACTTGAACAACTATTCACATGTGAAAATACCTTCATGAGACCTAAGGAAACCAGGTGGGAGATTATAGCAACTGAGTGTAGCAAAAAAAATAAAAGACGCACTGAACAGGATAAGAAGAACAGTTTAACATTTCCTGTTCATCCCTCCCCAACCACAGAGATAAACAGAGATACTCATTGCTAAGGAGAAAAAGAGAGAACAGAACACTCAACTCTGCCTTGAACTCCAATACCAGGCAATTGTTTACTGTTTCACCAGTAAAATGCAGTGCTAGGCAGACCCCCCCAGTCTCAGACGTCAGGGTTGTACACACAGACGGAGCCTCCAGGTCCACTCCCGTGCCAGAACAAATCCCACATCCCCAGGCTCCATGCCTGACCACCAGACTTGGTCTTCGGGCCTGCCCAATCTCTAGGATGACTCTAGACTTCTACAATGCCGTCAGTGCCAGGCTGGCTCCCATGACCCCAGGCTTCAGGCACACCCCAGCATCAGGCCAGGCCCTGCAGCTCAATCATCAGGCTAGCACCCTCAGAACCAGCCTCCAGACAAGCCTCTGTGGATATAGGCTCCAGGCACACCTAGCACCAAACCAGCCCCCGTAGCCCAGGATCCAGGCTGTTTATTATCTGCAGACCAAGCCTCCCAGCCCACTCTGGCATCAGGTGAGATCCCACAGCTCTAGGTTCCAGGCCTGTCCAGTGGACAAGGTCTACATGCAACCTCCAGGCATATTACAGAGCCAGGACAGCCCCAGCCATCCTGGACTGCTGAATACTCCCATTATTATACTGGCTCACATGGCCCCAGGTTACAAGGCATGTCCCAGCACAGCACAAGTGCCTAAAACCCTAGTCATCAAGCCAGCACACAAAGACCCAGCCTCCAGGGTGGCACCTGCAGGTACAAGGTCCAGGCCCACTCAGCACAAGACCAGCCCCCGTAGTCCTAGCCTCCAGGCTTCCTTCAGGTTTCAGACCAGCCCAGTAAAACAGAGGCCCATACCACTGCAAACATCAGCCCAACACAGCGACAGGTTAGCATCCTGGTCTAAGGCAAAGGTCAGAACCTGCAAAAACAGATTCTAGGCATACACAATGCCATGCTGATCCCTGAGGCCCCACCCTCCAGGCCAGCCCTTGTAAAGTCACACTCCAACAGACCAACAGACCAATAGTATGGCAGTAGAACCCAGTGCCAAGACAAACCATATGGAAAGAGTGTCCAAATCCACTCTTGCGGGCACAAAACAAGTTCCACCCTAAAAGACTCAGGCCCCAGGACCAAGCAAGCAACAGGTCAGGTCCCATGGTCACAAGGTCCATCCCAGTGCACCTGTGCACTAACGCCATCCCAACACCTAGCCAGCCCCTCCTGACACAGGCTCAAGGCCAACTTCAATGCCAGGTCAGCCTCTGTGGGCCCAAGTTTAAGGTCAGTTCCCACAGAAACAGATTTGAGGACAAAGCCTACAGACCAAATGAATCGGTCCACAACAGAGGTTCCAGGATCAAAGCCCAACCCAACGAACCCAGGGACGAGGGACACACACCTGCTGACCCAGGCACTGGTTCAGTCTACTCAAGAATTCCAGCAACAAGCCCACCTACCAACCATGCAAACAGCTTGCCCAGAATCACCACACGGGCTGACTGGTGAAGACATTTTCCAGACAAAGACAATCTAAACAGACTGGAATAAGTCCCTACTTCCTACATACACAGACATCAGCAGAAGGTAAGCATAATCATGAAAAACCAAGGAGATATAACACTACCAAAAAAGCAATCATTTCCAGCAAGGAAGTATAAGAAGATAGTGGAAGAGAAGCCTCCATTAATCATCCTCCTCACAGGAACACCAAATTGAACAACTATTCACACAAAAAAAGCACTGTCATAAGAACCAAAGATCAAGTGAGCAATCACGGTACCTTGTTTTAACTTTATATATAAAAAAGAGGCACTGAAGAGGGTAGAAAAGACAGTCTTAAATTCTTGATGCCATCCCTCCTTCACCTATCAGCAGCAGCCACAGAGTGCAGGAAGAGAATCTGCGAACTTACGGAAGGGAGAGTGTAGTAATTGTGGGACTCTGCATTGAAACTCAGTGATGACCTGTCACAGATGAAAGCAACACTAGGCAGAACTCAGCCACCCCTCATAGAGGGAGCATTTAGACCAGCCCTAGCCAGAAGGGAATTGCCCATCCCAGCAGTAGGAACCAGAGTTCAGGCAAAGGCAAGCCCCATCACCATGAGCTAAAGGGGTCTGGGGTCCTAAATAAACCTGAAAGGCAGTCCACGCCACAAGGACCACAATTCCTGGGCAATTCCTGATTCTGTGCTGGGCTCAAAGCCAGTGAATGAGGGGAGCATGCAACCCAGTGAGATACCAGCTGAGGTGGCAAAGGGAGTGCTTGCATCACCCCTCCTTCAACCCCAGGTAGCAGAGCTCACAATTCTGAGACTCTATCCCTCACTTGGAAGAGTATAAAGGACTTTGTCTGGCACCTTGGATACCAGCTCAGCCACAGTAGAATATGGTACCAGGCAGAGTTGTGAGGCCCCCATTCCAGGCCCTAGCTCCCAGACAACATTTTTAGACAAACTCTGGGCCAGAAAGGAACCCACTGCCTTGAAGGAAAGAACCCAGTCCTAGCAGGATTCATCACCTGCTGACTAAAAAGCTTTAGGCTCTGAATACTCAGCAGGAATGCCCAGGTAGTACTCGCCATGGGCCTTGAGTGAGACTCACAGATGTGCTGGCTTCAACAAATTCCCAGTTGTTGTAGTCATAGGAAGAGACTTCACTGTTTGTGGAAAAAAGAGAGAAGAGTGGGAAGAACTTGGTCTTGTGGCTTGGGTGCCAGCTCAGGCGCAGTAGAATAGAGCACCAGGTAGATTCCTAAGGTTTCTGACTCCAGGCCCTGGCTCTGAAATACCATTTCTCAGCCTGTGTGGGAAAGGGAGGCAACTCACCATCCTGAAGAAAAGGACAAAAGCCTGGCTGGCTTCAGCACTTGCTGATTGTAAAGCCCTTAAACCTTGAGTGAACACAGGCAGTACTCAGGCAGGGGTTGCTGTAAGCCTTCAGTGAGGCACGAGGGTGGGCTGGCTTTAGGTCTGACCCAGCGCAGTCTCATTGGTGGTGGCCACAGGGGTACTTGTGTCACTCTTCCCCAACCTCAGGCAGCCCCACAG